GGCCGGATTTGAACTCAGCTCCTCCTGAATCCAAGGTCGGTGCTCTATCCACTGTGCTACCTAGCTGCCCTGAGGGAGTAGGATTTTAAGGATAAGGCTGAAGAGGTGGTTTTCTTGTCTTCCCACTCAAAAGCCTCCCCACTGATTTCTCCTCCCCATTGATATAATCAGTTTTGGGAAAGGGTATTTACTAAGCAGATGTAGTAAAGACAGGTGGTACAGAAACAGTCCCCAAACTGGGGATCTACTTCTCCCCTTTCACACATCAGGTCTTTGGGGAGACTGGCTCAAACTTAGAAAGCACACAAAGCCATATGTAAATTAAGAGCTTCTGGTTACTGGAAGTCCTTTGAAGTACCCCTTTGGTATAGCTCTCTGCTGGGCTCTAAGAGTCATTAGCTACCATCTATCAAGAAACATTGCTACTGATCTGGATGAGAATTTCAAATCTTCCAACTTTTTGGAGTTCATAGTCATCACTTATTCAAGGAGAGGGGAAGGAGAGAAACTCTAATATTCCTCACCACCTCAAACCCAAGCGCAATTTCATCAGAGGAGTTCTTCCTCACTGGATTGAATCATTACTCAACTCACTGCTGGAAATGCTTGTATTTGAACTGGCTTGCTCTATCATATGTAAGCTAAAAGACATGTCTGATTCTTCCAGCAACAAGACAGCTCTGTGAGTGGACGTGTGTGTGTGTGTGTGTGTGTGTGTGTGTGTGTGTGTGTCTGTGTACATGTGCACATACAGCTTCAATTATCTTCATTTAATGATCAAAACACTTCACTCCTAAATTGATCATCTTAACCTCTTTGATTAATTTCTTCCTAGTTGTCTAGGACCTACACTTAGACTCTACACTTAGAATCCCAAACTTCACAGAACAAATGCCTTTAATAAAAGGATTTGTTCTATAAAACTTGGACTTAGTCAAAAAGCCACACCTAAGGACCTTGAAGGCCACATGTCTTCATGGCTTCTGGTTGTTAGTGGAAGCCCCCAACTTCCTTGAAGTTCCTCAAAAGCAGATAACTCTAGTGAATAGAGCTCTGGATTGCCTGGATTCAGGAAGACCTCAGTTCAAATACAGGCTCAGACACTTACTAGTTGTGTGACATTGAGCAAACCACTTGGCCTTTGTCAGCCTCAGTTTCCTCAATTGTAAAAATGGGATAATAATAGCACCTACCTGCCAGGATTTATGTGAGGATCAAATGAGGTAATATTTGTAAAGCACTTAGCATTATGCCTGGCACATAGTAGAAATTCAGCAAATATTTGTTCTTTTCTCTTCATCTTGTACCTGTACCCTGAACTGTATCCTAGTTCCAGGGATCTTTGGGAAAAACCAGAAACTCAGAGAATGACCACCAATTGGCTGAACACATTATGATATAGGAATGTAATGGAATATTATTGTGATGTAAATAATGATGAAATTGATAGTTTCAGAGAAACTTGGGAAGATAGAGTGAAGTGGGCAGGAGAACAATTTATATTCTAACAATAACATTGTAAAAATATTTTAAAAGAGAGGAACTCTGATCAATGTAACAATCAATCATGATTCCACATGAAGGTTGAAGAATGCTATCCATCTCTTGAAGGAGAGGTGATTATCTTGAAAGAGAGGGTTATCTCCGGCTTTTGGTAAACTCTCAAAATCTTAATTCCAGAATTGTAATTATATCATAACGCCCAGTACATGTGGGAAAGTGTGGACGTACAGGATAAATGTGGGACTCTCCTGAGGACCATAATTCACTGCATACGATCCTGGCACCATGTGTACACTCACTGTCTTCTCTAAGTTTTGCTGGTACTGGCAAAATCAATGTGACAGGTACTCTGTTGGGGTTTGCTGGTGAAAGCAGATCACCACAGCAAGACGTTTTCCAGGGCAATAGGAGACAAAAGCAAACGAGGAGCATTTAAACCATGGGCTCTGCAATACACGAGCAGAAGCTGAAACAAACGTTTTTTCGGTTCCTGTCTCGGCAAAGGTGTTCCTCTCCGCAGCTCTAGCCATAGGACGCCCGCAACGGGATCCTCCAAACAGCGCAGGCGCCGGAGCCGTTGCTTAGCGACGAAACACGCTATTCCAGCTGGGAGTTCCAATGCCCCAGAGTCATGCTTACGTGAGTGCTACGCAGATTCAACTTGTATTGATTACGAGAGGAAGAGGGGAATGGATTGGCTGCTGCTGAGAGTGAACGCAAACCTGAGGATGGGAATGACTCTGTCCACTTTTGCACAGCCGGGCCGTGGACCAGCTAGCTCCCCAAGAAGGTCGACATCTTAGGTGCCCAGAGCTCTACCAGGCACTGTGTAGCATCGAGAATATTGGGGGCGGGGGCGGGTCGAGGACAATAGTACCTGACATGTTAAAGCGCTTCACATAAGTTAACTCATTTGCGATTGTAACAGGCTCTGGCCTCAGGAAACATTCTAGTTGGGAAGACAAGCTTAATAAACAGGAAACAACACAAGACTTCGATGAATTCAACAAACATTTATTGAGTGCCTGCTACCTGTGAAGGCAGCTTTTTAGGAGCTGGGCACAAGCCCCTACATCCCCTCAGGTAGCATACAATTTAGTAAGAGTGAGTAGAGGAAGCATACTAAGGAAAAAATACAAGCTTAGAATTTAGTAAATGTGGATGAATGAAGCATTGTGAATATGAATGAATAAATAAAAACACCTACAGCAAACATTTAATTGACCACATTGTGCCAAGGGCTGAGTGAGATACACCACTTAGAGAAGACGAAATTTCTGCTCTCTCTGGAGTTTAGTTAACTCAAGATATAGAGAAGTCCATAGAAGAGGCTAAACAGTGGCAGCAGATTGGAGTGGGAGTCATCTCCAAGATCTGATGAAGAAGGAGGTATTAGAGCTGGGTTTTGAAGAATGGAAATGATGAGGTGAGGATGTACCCCCTTCTAGACCTAGGGGGCAGCAGGATCAAATATACTGGGAACAGGGTTGGATGAGATCAGGAAATGGTCCATCTGAGCTGTGGAGAGAGCATTGGATTGGGTCAGCAAGAACTGAGTCCAAATTTGATCTCAAACACTTAATTAGTTTTGTGATTCTGGACATACCACTTAACCTTTGCTGTCTTGGTTTCCTCAACTGAAAAAATGGGAATGATAATAGAATCTACCTCCCAGGGTTGTTGTGAAGATCAAATGAGATATTTGTATAGTGCTTTGCAAATCTCAAAGTGCTATATAAATGCTAGCTATTATTATTACAGAGAAGCACATTAGGATTTGAACCAGAATGTTCTGATTCAAAGCCCAGTATTCCTTTTATTGTGAGTAGGAATTGTTTCATTCTATCTTCATATCCTCAATGCCTAAAATAGTTCCTAGCACATAGTAGGGCCTTAATGCTTATTGACTGATTAATTTTAAAAAGTTGATTGGACCATGATTCAGCTTAAATTCCACGATTAGGAGCTTGTATTTTGTATTCTCCATAAGCAATTCAGAGTCACTGAAAGTGGTATATTATATGCTAGATCTACAAACCACAGTAGGGCATTTAAGGGATCCAGTTGGAAATTGTTATTTCCTATTTAGTAGGTGACAGGGAAATAATTAACATTAAGTGCGGTAATGTCTGTCCAATTTTTAACTCCAATCTGCCCAAAGTAGGAATGCACACTTTGCATGTTCAGTTTGTTTTCTGGACCCTTCTTCATGTGTTGCATCAATGGAAGACACCGGGAGGAAGATCTGTCCCGTAGCCTGGAGCTTTACTAATCCCCTTGTCCATAGCTGACTAAGCAGATTTAGGACAGTCTGTGATATTAACACTAGGGCTGATCGGCTGGCATGATTTCTTATTGACAGGTTGGTTAGTCAACCGGTGACAATGATAAACTCTGTGATTATTTCTGGAGTCCCATTAGTATAAAATTCCTGCATCATGTACAGACTACCTTAATGAGAATGTTAACAATAACACCAATGATAGAGTATTCAGAAAGGCTTCCTGGGTGAGATCTGGATAGAAAGAAAGGAGGAAGGAAGCACTACAAAAGAAGCATAAGTATGCACTTGGTGGACATCCAGGAGACAAACTAGTTAAAGCAGTTCAAGCAGGAGAAGTGTTGGAGAATTGTGAGAAATAATGCTGGGTAGGCAAGATCTTGAAAATGGGGCAGAGATTTTAGTTTTTAAACAGCAGAAAGTAGGAGCAGTGGAAAGTTTTTGAGCAAGGGAGTGACATCATGAAAGATGTTTAAGGAATATAAATCTGCCAGTGTGTGGGATGGTCTAAAGCAGGGACTCTTTTTTGTCTGTCATGGAAGCCTATAGAGTATCTCAGAAGTAAAACTTTAAAAATCATAATTGAAGGAAAAGCCAACTTCCAATTGCTGTTCTTGTTGTTTCCAGTCCTGTCTGACTTTGTGACCCTATTTGGGGTTTTCTCGGCACAGATACTGGAGTGGTTTGCCATTTCCTTCTCCAATTCACTTTACAGATGAGGAAACTGAGACCAACAATGTTAAGTGACTTGCAAGATCACCCAGCTAGTAAGTGTCTGAGGCCAGATTTAAACTCAGGAAGATGTGTCTTCCTGATTCCAGGCCCAGTACTCCATCCACTGTGCTAGCTAGCAGTCCTGTGACTTATTTGATGATGCAGTAATCGTGAGTGGTAAAGCCAGGACTAGATTCAGGTCATCTGAGAGACCCTATTGCTTTCCCCCCAGTATTTCATGATGTTGCCCATAGCCTCTCACAGACTTTGGGAAATGTAAGAAACTTCCTTCCCTTTCGGCCCCTACCTCTCCATCATCTTTCCATGATCTCCACCTCCCATCAACCTGCTTTCTTAGGCTGACGTCTCTGTGTTCTGGGGTCTCATCATGAGGGTGATAAGTTGATTGTAAGGCTGATTGGTGGTATCTATACATGATTCGGTCAGAAATCAGACTTTCCAACACAACACTTATTTACTTTTTCAATTAATTCTAGCCTTCTAAAAATAACATTATGCTAGTGATGAGGAGGATCCAAACTTGAGACTTGTTCCTCCAGGGAGGGTACTGGAACCATCCGCTCCCTATAGATCAAGGGCAGGGAAATGCCACCTTTTGTGCTGGATATCTGATCCTCAGGTAGGATTCACTGCATCTGCAAAGCAAGTATTAAGAGGAGATATCTAAATCTGTGCTTATACGTGCAAAAATAAACATGGCTTTTAAACGCATTGGCAATATTCTAAAAGGCTGCTAGGTAATGTGAATAATATTCATCACGCAGTCTCTATTTCTGTTCCTTTCTGTCTTTTCCTACTGTTAGCTTGGCATTCAGGATCTTCCAATCTGATTCCAGTCTATCTATCCAACCTGATTCCTCACTGCTCCTCTCCATCAACCATATTGTTCGTCTGACTGATCTATCCTTCAAGACACTCTCCCACCTTAATGCACATTGTTCCCTTTGACAGTATTTTCTATACTTATTTATGAATATCTAAGATAATGGGGTTGAACTCAAATAGAAACTGAACTCTGCTTGCCACATATTGATTTAGAAAACCACAAATTAGCATTATCTATGTTGTCTTGTATTCTTATTTATTTTGTTAAACATTTCCGTATTACATTTTAATCTGCTTTCTCACTTGAGATTGCAGAGTTTGACACTTCTGATCTAACACCTAGCTTTCCTTTAATTGACTTGCTTCAGTTCCTCTCCCTGCCCCCCACCAAAGATAGAATGAGTCAAATGCTCACTGAGTGGGGCTTATAGAAAAAAAAAAATCTGTTGTGGAATTGCCCCCCTGGAGCCATGAACTACCTGAAACAGACTTTTCTTGAGATCCAGTCTTGGTAGCAATATTAGATTCAGGGGAAAGCTGTTCCTTCCATTCTGTTTTGGACATTGCATTTTCTTTCTAAATATGACCAAAATAGAGGAAAAAAGAATTTTTTTTTCATAATTACCCCCATATTTATATATGTTGTATAAAATTTGAGGACTTCACCATTGTCTATTTAAAAAAAAAGTTTTTTCAGAAGAGAAGCCAAGAAGCTTCTCCTATCTCTTTTTCTCTACCCAAAATCCTACTTATCCTTCCAGATCCAGTTCAAAGCTTTACTTGCTTCTTGAAGCCTTCTCTGATCATTTCAGCCTACAGTAATCTTTATCTCTTGAACTATTTTTTGTAGGTCTTTTCTATAGTATTCATTTGGCAATTTATCACATGTTGTCCTTTCATTGCTATTTATTATTTCACATGTGTTATGTCTCATTTGCCCAGCGAGACCATAAACCCAAGAGTAAAGATTCTATCTTACACACGTAACCCACGAGTATCTAGCACAGTACTATATAGCAGGTAATGTTTGTTGGAGGAAGGAAGAAATGAATGACTCCTGGACTTTTCCCTCTTCTTTAACATCTTTATTCCATTAGCCACCAATTCCTATTGGTTCTTCCTCTGAAATATGTCAGATTTGCTCTGTAAGCTCTAGTTCCATTGCCATCTCATTCATGCTTACATTATAACATGCCTACGTAATGGCAACCTCTGACTTGTTTTCCCTGACCTCATATGTCTCCCCTTTGATGCCCTGTGTATTCCTGTTAGGTTAATCTTTTAAAAACACCACTTTAATCAAGTCACTTATTACCTCGAATATACATGAATACCTAAAGGAACTGGATCTGAGATTTTATCATCAAAGGAAACTCCTGGTGTTGGAATTCCTTGCATCCCTGAAGATCACAACCTAACAATTACTTGGTAGATCACCCTACAGAGATGACTGAAACATATAAAAGTCAACCTACTTGCCCAGGGTCGACCATATAGCTTTTAAATGGTGAGGCTGGGATTTGAAACTAGTTTTTCCTGATTTCATAGCCAACAGCCTAACCACTATGGCATGCTGATTCTGTGGAACTACTATTATCAAGTCTAAAGTTGTCTTTTAAAAACTTTACAATTGGGGCAGCTAGGTGGCACAGTGGATAGAGCACTATGTGGCCCTGGATTCAGGAGGACCTGAATCCAAATCTGGACTCAGACACATAACAATTACTAGCTGTGTGACCCTGGGCAAGTCACTTAACCCCATTGCCTAGACAAACAAACAAACAAACAAACAAACAAACAAAAAACAAAACTTTCCAATTGACTTATACCTTCTGTGTTTCCCAGTTTTCTTCAACAAGAATCTTGATTGTATATTTAGTCCAATACTTCCACTTTAAGAGTGATAAATCTAGGCCTAGGTGAGATTAAAGTACTCACCCAAAGCAGCAAACAGCAGAATTGGGATTCAAATCCAGGTCCTTTGACTCTAACTAAATTAAGGGTTCTTTCCATTACATCATACTCTCTTAATTAAGTTTAGGCTAGTCATCTCACTGTTCCTTCCCCACAAAGAACATAATTATCACTTCAGTGTTCCCCTATTTCATATGCCTTCCTTTCTTTCCTCCTACTCAAAAAATTTATGCATCTTTGAATAAGCCCCATAACCCCAGAATCTGTTTCCCAATTCACTCATTGCTAGTACAATTGTTACATGAGTCTCAACTCCCCAATTAGGTTATAGTTCCTTGAAGTCAGACACCAAGCCATATATTATCTTTTTTCATAGTACCTAGCTCAGGCTTGATCACATAGTGAGTATTAAGTATAAATGCTTGTTATACTATTTTTCTCACCATTAGAAAGGAACAATTCTTAACTAAAATATTTATATATTTTATCCATTATAGTATTTGATATTATATTTTATTCATACCAATGTTGTTTGATATAGACTTTAATTTATTTGGAAACCCATTTAACATTTTTTTAACACCCATTTGATATATATGTGTGTGTATATATGTATATGTGTGTGTGTGTGTGTGTGTGTATAAGTTCTACAACATTGGTTTTTTTCATCTTGTGTCATCTTTTGCCAATTGCTAGGTATGAAGGTAAACCTCAGAATTGTTCTGATTTGCATTTCTCTTACTAGAGATAAATGCTTTTGAATGATAATGATATGACTATCCTGCCAATATCTCATTCATTTCTGTGAGGTTGGAGAAAAGACTTTATTAAATAGAGCAGGATTTTCTTTTAGCTCTTTGCTCTTTTCATGTAATTTATGCAGTTTCGTCCTGTTTTCCCTGATATTTTCCATTTCAAAATAGGGTCAAGGAAGAGTATTATGTGGAAGTCAAAACTAGGTTTGGTGACACCCTTAACCACAGAAACATTTTTGGAGAAAACTCATGTGTCTCAGGCCTCTACACTAACAAAATATTATGCCAATGTACATGCAAATTTTTGATGTTAACAGATGACTGTTCAGGAAGAAAAGCTTATAAGTAAAATGATGGAGGAAAGGTTCCATTTCGGTGAGTATTTTTTAAAAAATATTCACATTAGGGCTTAATGAAGACTCATCTATTTCTTCAAGAGGGGGCAATGTCAGGGGTCCAAACTTTTCCTGCCACGTGTGAGGTTTCAGTTCTGGATAAGTCTCCATAGTTGTTTTCTAGAAAGAAAAAAAATCAGTTAGTGGTTTAAAACTTGCTGTCTTTTGAAGTTAGAGTTCCTACATATCTGTATAAAAAATTCTGAGTCCTAAAACTTGGTTGCCTGATTAGATTTATGGTAGGATCCAGATTATGGATCTAAACAAAAACCTATACCTTCCAAATAGCAAGGAATTTCCATTCAATAAAGAAAGGCAGTAAAGTAGAGTGGAAAGAGAATTGGAGTAGGAGTCATTAAACCTGAGTTCTAACCCTAGTTATGCCAACTATGTAACCTTAAGACAATAATTTTCATCTCTCTGAGTCTCTATTATTATACTTATTTTTATTCTTTTAAATTTTTATTTATTTATTTATTTATTATACTTATTTTTAAAAGAGAGAGAGGACAGGGATTAATTAGGATAGGAAAATAATGCCTTCATATTCCTTACCTTATAGGTCTGTGGAATTAATGATCAGATGAAAAAAATAGTGATTTTAAACTGTAAAACACTATACAAATGTAAGGTATTATATTTTGGGGTAGTAGTTCTTCCTCAGTAAGTGTTAACTGATGACTCACTGAATGAGAATAATATAGCTCCTCTTAGACTTGACATTGGAATTGTGAATTTATCAAGATGGCAAAAAACTCATTTTAAAAAAATATAATTTGAAATACTGCAGTTAAGGAATCTTCAGGTCATCCTTCATATAACCATATGATTTCAGAGTTGGAAAGGACTTCAGTGGCAACTGAATCTAAAACTTACCCTGTTCTAAAAGACCTGATAAGTGGTCATGCAGCCTGTGCCTGAAGTCCTCCAATAAAGGGAAACCAATGACCTCTTCAGGCAGACCAGTACACCTTGGAACAAGTCTGCCTAAATCTGCATTGTATCCATTACTTATTGCTTTTTCTTTCTGTAGCCAAATTGAATGCACTGCAGACTAGGATCTATTAAACACAGTAAACCAGTGGTCCCCAGACTTTGTGTAACAGCAGTAAAAGATTTGGAGCATGTATCCCCCATTATTGTGTATATTTGCTTATTTATGAAATATAACATAGATTTACTATAGTACTATGTACTAATTATGTAAATTATGAAAATTATATAAAAATAGAAATAAAAGTGATGAGATGAAGATTAAGTAATATTTGATTCTAGAACTCAATAGAGAGCTACTGGGGTTTATTGAATAGCAGAATGAAATGGTCAGACCTTTGCTTTAGGAAAATCACTTTGGAAGCTGAGTGGAGGATGAAGCTGAGTGGGCAAAGACAACGCAGAAAGGCCACTTAGGAAGCTATGACAATAGTCTAGTTGAGAGAAGAATCAGGCCTAAATGAGAGTGGTGGCTGTGGGAATAGGGAGCAGGGGACAGATGAGAGAGATATGGAAGTAGAATGGCAAGATCTGGTAACCACCTGTTTATGTGAATGTGGGATGAGGGAAAGTGAGTAGAGTGGAATAGAAACCTGGGGAATTGGAATGATGGTGGTGACCTTGACAGTAATAGGGAAATCTGGAATATGGACAGGGAAAGAAAGTCAGTGTGATAAAATATGGCTTTGGTTATTGCAATCTAAATATGCCTGCATGTTGTAGGTAACCCACTTCTTTCCTATTCAAAAGAAAAAGAGAGGAGGTGGTATTCTTACTTACCAGTCACTGTCCCCAAGTGCAGAGGTCACTCCCCAAGAAGTACCTGCTGCAGTCACTAGGTGATCTGGGGACAGGGAATGGAGAATTTTCCCAATGGAAACTGTGCAGGTCCTGGCAGTTAGTTTAGTTTCCAGCTGCTATGAGGGACTGATACTTGGTGTAGATGGGCAAGGTAAGACATTTACACATCAGAAGGAGGGTACCCAGTAGGGAAGTTTTGGGGAATAAGGGTAGGTATGGTTATGTTGGATGTGATTTGGCTTCCTAACCTCTGATTGGTTATCACATACCCAGTGGAGACGGGTCGAGTCCACCTTGATTCCCACCTCCATCAGCCATGGCCCTTGACCTTATTTTTTATTTATTTTTTATTTTATTAATTTATTTTGATTTATCAACAATCACTTCCATATGTTTCTGAGTTTAAAATTTTTCTCCCCCTTCCTCCCCTCTACCCTCCCCAAGACAGCGCACAATGTGATATAGGCGGCCCTTGACTTTAATGACCATTGTTCTAAACAGTGAACATTAAAATGAACAGTGAGTAAAGAAGGGGGAGCAAGGTAGAGAAGCTTGCTAAGAGCATCCTCAAACAAGGGGGAAAAATTCCCGTTGATTGATAAGTGTGGCTTATGGGAAGATCGGACTCTATAATGATGGAAGAGTAATCTCAGATTTTGGGGAAAGTGCAGTAAAAACTGAATGTTGATGTGATGAGTAATATAAATCCCAGCTGACAGAATGCTACAAACTTGCCGAGGCATGCAGCCTACCCCAAAGCAGGTCACCAGCTCCATTCCTTCCTACCATGAATTTTCTACTCTGTCTTCTGGGGATTATGAGTACTATGAAAAAAACCTTATATTTGTTTGAATCTAAGTTTAGAATATAAAAGAGAAAAAGGAAATGTAACTGGCCCTTTAAAAATTTTCAGTGTTGCTTTATTTGAAGTCACAATCAGAGGAATGCTAATAGATGAGTGTAGATTTTCTGAACTGCATCAGCAAGGAAAGGGGTGGGGCTGGGGGACCTGTATCTGAGCTAAAAAAAAAAAGTATTAAGGAAACTAATTGATCTTTTACAGATTATAGGTAAACTCAGGTAGAGGGCTGAGTACTGATGGGATAAACCTGGATCATCCTATAGCTTAGTTAATATCAACTAAAATGAAAAGTTCAGATGAAATTTGTCAGCATATCACAGACATTTCTTAGACGTTTGTACCTTTACTCTAGTTGGTATTTCTTACTGATCAGTTTAGGGGTTTTTTTTCCTAGTCCTATGACTTCATCAGTGGATGAAGTAAACTTCATCCATAATGAAGACTGGAAGCTTCTAAAATGTATAGTCTGAAAGATTTGCTTGAAGGATCTGAGAGGTAAAATGATTTGTCCAGGGTCATAACAGTCATTGAGAGCCAAAGGCAAGAGCTGAAGCCTGGAGTTTTCCTGACTCGAAGGCTGGTCCAATCTCCTCTCTGCCTCTAGATTATTAGTCATAATTAGTTACTTTCTAATTTATTCATGGTTAAATTAATAAGTGCTCCAAAGTAAGAGTTTTTAGTGGGATACTTTTGCAGCTCAGTTCTAGGTCCCTGGAAAAGTCTGGATACCTCCCCTGTACTATCAACATCTGGGACCTCTGGCCAGATATTGGTGGTCGCCACTTTAGGTAAGGCAACAGTCACGAAGGGAAAGAACAGTAATTCTTAAGAGGACTGACTTTCCTGACATGCGAATTGTTTTTTTTTTTAGTGTCTTATAAGTTTGCTGCTGAACAAATATTTGATAGATAAATATTCAGCTTTCTTTTCTGTTATCTTGCTCATTAGACTAAGTTCCTCATCACATTTGCTAGAAAACCTATAAAACATCTATAAAACCAGAGATATATCTGCATGTAAATAATGATGATGATGATGGTGAGAATAACTAGTGTTTCTACAATGCCTCCTGTATGCCAAACACTGTGCTAAGCTCTTTGCAGATATTACCTCATTTGATTCTCACAACAACCCTGGGAAGAAGGTGCTATTGTTATCCCCATTTTTCAGATGAGGAAACTGAGATAATAGAAATTAACTGACTTGCCCAAGGCTGCATAGCTAGCAAGCGTCTGAGTCCAGACTGGAACTTAGGTCTTCCTAAGAGCATGCTCATAGCTCTACTGCACCATCTAGCTGCTTTTAACACTGAGTTGCTAAAATATTTAAAAAAATGAAATTTGCCACCTTGATAAATTTCCATATCAATGATGAAAGCCAGCAGACAACTGAACAAATGTTCAGCCTCTGTGACAGAATAATGATGCAATAAACAACACATGAGATGCAATAAGCAAAGAACCATACAGAATCAGGGCAACAGAAACATTCTACTTGGATTTAATCTAGACCAAGGCAATTCAAGTAAATGGGAAAAAAAACACTTCTGGGAGAAGAAGCAAAATTTAAGGTGACTGGCTCTGTTACCTACATGAAAGAAATCACACATGTAATTCCAAACTTCAGTGTACCTCTGCAATCTTGGGAGGTAAGAATAATATATGACACATTTTGACTGTGAATTTGACAAGTCATTTAAACTCTCAGTGTCCCAAGGCAACTTTTCTAAGACCTTGAGTTACAGATGAATGGAAAATCTGCATTAGTGGAAGCAGTTTCCATAATGAGAGATCCCTCCAGTGTTGAAATAAAAAACCAGGACTGAAAACTAAGAACAACAACAAAAACCTAGTTTATTTGCTCTGAGATTATCAGCATATTGAGCAGTCCAGCAAAAAGACTGTTTTCTTCACTGAAGATAATCTTGAGTTCTGAGAAGCTGAGATACCTCATGCCTAAAATGTAAAGATACTAGCTGAAAGAAAAAAATCAGAGTAAAACAACTTTTCCATCTCTAGGAAAGCTCATCATAAACAGAAAAGCACCTATGATCTCTTGTTATTAGGCGCTGCAAAAGTTCTAAGATATAGATATAAAGTCAAGGAAACACCGACTGTTTTCAATGAAATGTTCAGAAAAGGTCCTACTTATTCAAGAGTACTTTGTAAACTGCAGAGTCATATCAAGAACATTGAGGTACAATAGAAACAATGCTGGATGGGTGTTTAGATTTAGAGGACTTGGTTCAAATCCCAGTTCTCTTATTTAATATGTGACCTTAGGGAAATCAATTTAACCATCTGGCCTTTACTTTCCTCCTCTGTAAAATTTGAGGACTGGACCAGATGACTGCTAAGGTTTCTTTCAGTTCTCAATTTCTGATCTTATGAAATGTAAGGTAAAATTATACAAAGTATTATGACTTTTGTTTTTACTTTCTCTAGATGAGGCTCCAACATCAATAACACTAAAATAAGTTATATATTAAATTTTCCCGTAAAATCCAAGGGGATTAAATATAGTAACATCTGTAAATTAAAAAGAGGGAAAAAGGATGTTGAATACTTCAAGAAAAACTGCTTTCTTCTTAAACACATAAAATCGTGACATGCAATAAGAACTGAGTTTGCTGTTGGGCCATAACGTTGTTGCTGAAACTAGTGAAGGTGACTCACTTTTTGATACTCTTCATGTGTTTTCTGGAACTGAATTTCCTCTGCCTTCAGTTTCTGTGCTATTTCTAGTTCCAAAAGGTTTTCCATTCTTTCCTCACTCAGCTGAAGCTTCTCTAGCATTCTCTATTGTTGGAAAAAGCCAAATACCAGAAATTGAACAATTAGATCAGCTGTTAATAAAAGTCTGTGCCCTGGATGGGAATGAAAAACCATTGTGTGGGGGGGAGGTGAGGAGGGAGGAGAGGGTTCATATCCCAACAAAGAACTCTGAGCTCTTTGCTGTCCTCAAGGTGGGTGACAACCCATTAACCCTAAGGTTTCTGAAATCAGATGCTTAGCCTCTCAACTTATATTGCAAATCCCTGACTTCAGGAATTTCAGCAACCAAAGTACCTTTGACAGTTGAGTTGGGACTAAGAAATTAACTCTATCCTGAAGCTGCCCTGCCAACAGTCTATCTGAGATTAAACCCAGGTGCTGTGAAACGGGGTATAGAGAGGAGATCTGGACATTCCTAGGACCCTTCTAGAGATGCAGTTACTCCAGAGCATCCTGAAAATCAATGGTGAAATGTATATCCCGTATATACATACCTGGTGACTTGCATACATTTGTCTCCTATATTCATAAATCCAAATTGCCAGGTACTCTATTGGATCTGATGGGCGATGCTGAAGCAACTTAGCAAGGCCTTGAACTAAACACGTTCCCAAGCACTTTTTCAGGTACTCAGATTCCAAAGACATTTCCTGTAAAAACACCAGTGTAGAGGCATATTGTTTCAATCACAGACCAAACTTTTAAATGGAAACATTCTAAGCACCCATAGGTTTATGATAGAGTACTTGCTAACACCAGACTTTCTTAGATTGTTAACCTCATTCCTATCTCTATTTTAAAAAATTGCTTAAATGTTGGCAGCAATCAGTATACTTAAATATTCTGAATATAATTTTCCCTAAGCATCTATAGATTTACCATAGTATATTCAAATACTCTGAATATATTCTCCCTTCCTCCCCCCCAAGTTGGAGCAATCTGAAGCTGGACTAATGGAACTTTGATAAAGTCATCAAAACTGACAGAATTTCTATTTATTCAATGTAAGAAGATAGTTTGGGCTTCCAGAAGAACCACCTTACCAACAGACTTTCACCCTTGGGTGGGGAGAATATCTTCGAGCAAGCAGACAGTTAGCAGTAGGGGTTCTGTCCTCATCCGATTAGTTGTGGTATTGTGTCTGCTGCCCCATGTCATAAAGGCTTTACTCATTGGAAAGAATCTCAGATTGTTTCATAAATGGAATACTCAAGGGCCATTAGACAGTAACATCTTTAGGCTAGTACCCTGTAATAGGAAGAAAAAGGAACCTGAGGAGTGGGGAGTTTGAGGACCTGTGTTAAAAAAAAATCTGGCTCTTATTTATGATTTGTATGACCTTGAGCATATGAGTTATTGTCTCTAGGCCTTGCTTTCCTTTTCTGTAGAATGAAGGGTTTCTACTTTGGGAACCATTGAGGTTCCTTACAGTTCTCAATCTCAATTTAAATACTTGTGACTTAATATAAACATTAAATATAAATGCTAACTATGCGTGGCTTAATAAATGCTTGTTGACTGATTTCTCTCAGCCAAGGACATGAGAATTCAGAGGCAAACCAGTAAGTCATGTTCATTCACTGGGCCCTCCCACTCCATGGTACATCTCAGGAATTTGGTAGCTCCCAGTGAGGTCAACTCTATTCCCCTCCTTGATTTTGTTCCCTGTGGATCATGGATATCCCTCAATCTTCCCCATGGCCCCCCAAGGTATACAATAGAGTACTGTATCTAGCATCAGACTCTAATCCTAGTTCTGTCACTCAATTCCATTCAATAAACATCTATTAAGTGCTTACTCTTTTTTAAGTACTGTGCTAAGCACTGTGACCTTAGACAGTCACTTAACTTCTCTGGGCCTTCATTTTCTCATTTATAAAATGTTAAAATTGGGCATCGGGTTGGACTAAAACTCTGTAGGAGTCAGCTACAAATCCTTTGATTTCTGTGAGCTAAGTCCTGTTCAAAGACTTCTCCATGTTCTTTTATTTCTTCAATTTCCCAATTTTCTCAGGGAGTTAAATAGACGCTCTCGTGCACTGCACACGCGCGCGCGCACACACACACACACACACACACACACACACACACACACACACTCAGCCCTGAGACCTCAAAGCATCCACTAAGTCAATAAGCTTTTATTAAGCATTTATTCTATGCAAATTTTTGAGTTATGCTTCGGGGATACAAAGAAAGGCAAAAAAACATCCTCAAGGAACTGAGATGTGCCACGAAGTGGAAGGGTACAGCGAATGGGCATGACTCTTATTGGTTTGTCTGTGAATCCAGAAGTCCCTGAAAGAAATCTTTCTTTTCCCATGAAAAAAAAAAGTAAATAATCAGGTGGTTAGTAGAAACTCATCTAAGGTAGGTGTGCTCCCCATGTGGCCACACACTCCTCGAATGGACCCCCCCCCCACACACACATATGTCTTTCAGTAAAGATGCATAACAACGTGCCTTTTAGTAAATATACTCTAAAACCTGCACTATAGTGTCCCTTACGGGAGGTCGCCTGCTTCCTCCGCCCTCATGGTTTCTTTAATTCTTCTCGTATTCAAAGGAGAGCACTGCGCAAAGGTAGTCCCATCACACTCCAAAGTCAGTTCTCTCCATCCCCGTGATCCCGAGCAACTCCAGAAAATAGGGAGCCTCAAACACAGAGGATGCCTTCAACAGCTGGAGAATGCATCCAGCATTTGCACGATCTCTTAGCACCTTTCTCCCCGTCCCTCTCTATTCTTTCGGGGTCCAGGCACGCAACACTCATGCGACATCCCCTGACACCCTGCGCTCTGCAGGAAACTTCTTCACTGCTCCCCCTTGCTCACTCCAGCTTCCTCTTTACCTCCCTCCTCCCTCCTCCGTCCTCTCTCCTTCCTCTTCTCCCCCCCACCGCCCATCCCTGCCGCAGGGCGCACGCGCCAGGCCACCGTTACCTAGCAAAGGAAGAGACGCGGCCTCTGCCCCAGTAACTGCGGTTTGGGGACTCTGACCCCAGGCTCGGCGGTGAGCTACAGGAGCGGGCGCTGGGTGTGCTACAGCCTTCGTCGGTCTCAGGGTTGTCTTCGTCGTCGGGGTCAGGGACAGTGTGGTGGTGGCAGCGGCGGTGATGGTGCACCTCTGAGCTCTTGGCTGGGCATGGGCATGGGGGTGGGGGCATGCGTGGAGAGGCTGCGAGGCTCGCCCTTGCCTCGGGATCCCTCTGGGGAGGGTCGGGCTGGGGTCGGAAGGGCCGCCTTCCAATCTCAGCCTGTGTGAGCTGGATCGAGGATCTTAACCTTCGTCATTTGTACCTATTTCTAAAGTGAGAGGGTTGAACTAAGGGTCTTACTCTCTTACCTTTTATCTTTTGGTTACCACCCTCTTCCTCCTCCTCCTCCTCCTCTCTTTGCCCCTCTCTCCCCTCCCTCTTTCCTACCCCCGCCTTCTTCATTTCTACTATCCCCTTCCTCCTTCCTGCCCTTCCTTTCCTCTTTCTTACTCTCTCATCTTTCCTTCCAATCCTTCCTTTCTGCTTTTCTAGCATCTCTCTTTCCAATCCTCATCTCCCTCCTTCCCCTTTTCTATCCTTGCTTTCTCCTCTCACTCTTTCCCTTCCATCTTCTCCCTCCTCTTCTTCCCTACTCCCAACTTCCTTTCCTTCATAGTCCCTCCTTCCATCCCACTACCTTCCTCTGCCCCCTCCCTCACTTTCCTCTTCAGTTCCCTTCTTCCTTCCATGATACTTCCTTCCTTCCTTCTACCATACTCCTTCCTTTCTCCCCTTCCCACTGTTATTCTCTCCTCTCCCTTTTTCTTTCTCCCTCCTCCTTTCTTCTTTCCTCCCTCCCCTCTCACTTTTCCCTCCTTTCCCCTCTGCTTCCTTCTTTGCCCTTTTCCCTCCATCTTCCTCTTTCTCCTTTTTCGAATACTGCCCCCCCTCCTGAAGTTAGTGGGCCAGAAAGGGTGTCTCCTCTTTATGCAGAACCTCCTAGAGCTGGAAAGAAACTCAGAGGTAATTTATCCTCCCCCCCCCCATTTTACTGACTAGGAAACTGAGACACAGATAACAGTTCAATCTGGCAAAGATTTATTGAGCACCTCCTACATGGAGAGCACTATTTTAGGCCTGTGGATTCATGTATGAGAAGGAATATAGGCACAGGATTACTACAGTTTGTAAGGAGCTTACAGATTAACTAAGATAATGTCTTTATTTTGCACCTGAAGAGCTGCAGGGAAAGGCAGGGGAGATGATCTTGGTCACACAAGTCTCCTGGAACCTCTTTCTCTAACTCCTAATAGACTAATCCTTTCTCATTCTCTCTCATCAGCCTTCAGGAAATCTGTATTCTAATAGAATTGATTGGATTGTGGTATGAGAAAGGAGGTAGAGCTCCTAGTCCAAAAGGAAAAGAAAGATTTGGTTTGGTCAAGATGAAGAGGGAGTTCATTTCAGGCATATGTGATTGGGCATGGAGGCTGGAGAAGGAGGGATGAGAATAAAGAACCAGTGGTCCAGTTTGGCTGGAACATAGCATGCTCCAAAGGGAATAGTGTGAAATCCACCTGGAAATGTAGGCTGGAGGTGTTGGGACTTCTTCCAGGTTACACAGCAAGACTTAATTCATTGTTCTTTCTATACCAATGATGCTTCCCAGGGAACATTAAGGATGGTTGGTAATTGACGGTTGATGTTTCCCTGGAAGTGCTGAGGAGACAGATGTACTTGGAGATGTGCTAGTATTTACTGCATATGTACTTAAGGAGAAGGAGGAAGCTGAGGTGAGGGCTACTTGACATCCAGGTTCTTTGATACTATAGTGTGTATTATAATTCTTTTGTGAATTATCCTAGCCTTTGGATCACCATGGCTCATAAAATTTAATTGTGGTACTTAATATTTTGGACAGTAATTATTTGAGGGTAAAACATGAATAATGTGATAGTGCATTAGGATTTTCATTGGGCCTGCAAGGTATGCTCAAGGTTCCATCTCCTCTTTAGGACAGAAGGAAATATTGATTGCTAAATGAATTGGACACACGTTCCTGACTGTGCCAACTCCCTGGAATGAATATATGAGCTTTAGAATAGTTATACTGCCCTCAGGTGTTTTTAGAGGGGTGGCCTCAGCAAGGGAGGATTTGAAGTATATGTGGAATTCCTCATTATTTCTCTCTTAATTCTTCCAAGAGGATCATCACATCTCAGATGTTCTCTGTTCCATCTCCCTTCTAGAAAAAAAAAGAATGTTTTGCCCTTCAATAAGCAAGCAAACAAAAAAATCCCCAAACAAAAACCAGGCAACAGCAACAAAAATCCAAATTCTTTAAAGCATTACCTGGAGCTTCCTTACTTGACCTGATTGTTTTTGTTCAGTTGTTTCAGTTCACTTACAACTTTTTGTGACCCAATTTGGAGTTTTCTTGGCAAAGATATTAGAATGGTTTGCTATTTCCTTCTTTTTTAAAAAAAATTTTGAATTAAAAAAAGTATTAATTTATTTATTTTTAATTTTCAACATTCACTTACCCAAGATTTTGAGTTCCAAATTTTCTCCCCATCTCATCCCTCCCCCCACCCCAAGATGGCATGCGTTCTGAATACCCCTTCCCTAATCTGTCCTCTCTCCCCTTCCCTTCTCTTATCCCCTTCCCCTTCAGCTTTCCTGTAGGGCAAGATAGATTTCTCTACTCCATTTCCTGTATATCTTATTTCCCAGATGCATGTGAAAACAACATTTTTTTTTAAAACTTTGGGTTCCAAATTTTCCCCCTTTATCCCTCCCCATCCATTCTCATTGAGAAGGCAAGCAACTTGATACGGGTTATACATGTGTAGTCATGCAAAACACTTCCATAGTAGTCATGTGAAAAACCAAGTATATTTCCCTTAATCCTATCCTGCCCACCATTTATTCTATTCTCTCTTTTGACCCTGTCCCTCCTTAGATGTGTTTGCTTCTGATTAACCCTTCCCCCAATCTGCCCTCCCCTCTATTGTCCCCCTGCTCTCTTGTCCCCTTCCCCCCCCATTTTCCTGTAGGGTAAGATAAATTTCCATACCCAATGAGTGTGTATGTTATTCCCTCCTTAAGCCAAATCCAATGAGAATAAGATTCACTCATTCATTCCCTTTCACTTTTCCCCCCACTTCCCGTCCAGTAAAAGCCTTTTTTGGTCTATTTTATGTGAGATAATTTACCCCATTCTACCTCTCCCTTTCTTCTCCCAGTATAATCCTCTCTCACCCCTTAATTTTATTCTCCAAATATCACCCCTTCATCTTCAACTCACCCTGTGCCCTCTATGTATCTATGTATCTATCTATCCATATAATTTTTTCCCTCTACTCTAATACTGACAAAGGTCTCATGAGTTACAAATATCATTTTTTCCATGCAGGAATGTAAACAGTTCAACCTTAATAAGTCCTTTATGATTTCTTTTTCCTCTTTACCTCTTAATGCTTCTATTGAGTCTTATATTTGAAAGTCAAATTTTCTATTCAGCTCTGGCCTTTTCATCAAGAATGCTTGAAAGTCCTCTATTTCACTAAATATCCATTTTTTCCTCTGAAGAATTACACTCAGTTTTGCTGGGTAGGTGACTCCTGGTTGTAATCTTGTCTCCTTTGCCCTCCAGAATATTATATTCCAAGCCCCCCAGTCCCTTAATGTTGAAGCTGCTAAATCTTGTGTTATCCTGATTGTTTTTCCACAATACTTAAATTGTTTCTTTCTGGCTACTTGCAATATTTTCTCCTTGACCTGGGAACTCTGGAATTTGTCTACAATATTCCTAGGAGTTTTCCTTTGGGGATCTCTTTTAGAAGGTGATTAGTGGATTCTTTCCATTTCTATTTTGTCCTCTGGTTGTAAAATATCAGGGCAGTTTTCCTTGATAATTTCTTGAAAGATGATGTGTAGGCTCTTTTTTTTTTATCATGGCTTTCAGATAGTCCAATAATTTTTAAATGATCTCTCCTGGATCTACTTTCCAGGTCAGTTGTTTTTCCAATGAGATATTTCACATTGTTTTCTATTTTTTTTTCATTCTTTTGGATTTGTTTTACAGTGTCTTGACTTCTTATGAAGTCACTGCCTTAAGGAGGTATTTTCTTCAGTAAGCTTTTGGACTTCCTTTTCCATTTGGCCAATTTTGCTTTTTAAGGCATACTTCTCCTCATTGGCTTTTTGGAACTCTATTGCCATTTGGGTTAAGGCTATTTTTTAAGGTGTTATTTTCTTCAGTTTTTTTGGGTCTCCTTTAGCAAGCTGTTGACTTGTTTTTCATGATTTTCTTGCATCACTCTCATTTCTCTTCCAGTTTTTCCTCTACTTCTCTTACTTGCTTCTCAAAATCCTTTTTGAGCTCTTCCATGGCCTGGGACAATTCATATTTTTCTTGGAGGCTTTGGATGTAGGAGCTTTGACTTTGTTGTCTTCTTCTGGTTGTATGTTTTGATCTTCTTTGTCACCAAAGTAAGATAATATAGTCTGACTCTTTTTGCACTGCTTGCTCATGATCCAGCCAATTACTTGAGTTAAACTCTTTGTTAAGGTAGGTCTGCTTCCAGTGTGGAGAATGTACTGTCCAAGCTTCAGGGGTTTTGTGCAGCTTTTTCAGAGATACTTCTAGGGACCTGTAAATTTTCAGTTCTTCCAAGGTGGTATGATAAGGGCGAGGTATTTACTCCTTTCCTGGCCTGTGCTCTGGTCTATGAGTGACCACAAGCACTCCTTTCTGCCTTGGAACTGTGAGGAGGATTTTCTGTGTACTACCACTACAAGCTCTACCACGCCAGTGCTCCTCCTTGCCCCAGGACCACCACCCAGAACTGTGACCCAGATCCAAGCATGGACAAAGCAAGAGAATCCTGCACCAGCAAAGAGATCCCTGCAATCCCCCTCTGATCAACCACTTGATTCCCCCTCAGGCTGTGGGCCAGGAGCTCAGGAAACAGCCGCCGCCCTGGGGACACATGTGGGGAATGGGACTGGAACTAAGCTTCTCTCTCACCATAGTCACAGACTCTTCCTACTGACCTTCTAAGTTGTCTTTGGCATTAGTG